AAACAAAAGTCCAGGTTATTACCTAACTAGTACAGACCACTCAGAAAAACTGGGTGTTGTTTTTTTTTCTCTTTTCTTCATTCTCTTATATGTACCACTATTTCACCTTGGCTCTTTCCTTTATTCTTCTTTTAACTCATCTTCTTCATACTTGTTTCAATGAGTAAAATCTCTGATTTCCTCTTATTCTTTTCTTATTCCCCACCCTTTTCATCTTTCTTTCCCTGTGACACCTGATAATTACCAAGATATTATTCTACTAGAGGCCCAATACACAAAATTTATGATGGGGGAGGGGAGGTGTCCCTCAGCCTGGCTTGTACCCTCTTGCAATCTGGGACCCCTTGGGGGATGTCCAACTGCCGGTTTAGGCCTGACATCCCTCTCGCAATCCGGGACCCCTTGCTCCTAACTGCCTGCCTGCTTGCTCCTTACAGCTTGGCTCACAGTTCCTTAGCGCTGTCTCGGAAGAGGGAGAGGCTCCCGCCACTGCCACTGCGTTCGCCAGCCGCCAGCCTGGCTTCTGGTTGAGCAGCATTCCTGCTGTGGGAGCGCAGTGACCACCGGTGGGGGGGCAGCTCCTGCACTGAGCGTCTGCCCCCTGGTAGTCAGTGCATGTCATAGCAACTGGTCATTCTGGTTGTCTGGTCGTTCCACCATAATGGTCGCTGGGCTTTTATATATAGACAGACAGATAATCCTGTAAGTCTGAAGTATTAAATCAGTAGGGTTTTAAGATACCCAGTAGATATCATTATCCCACTTATGTACAACTACTGAAAAATCTATATGGACTCCAAATGGTGTTGAATCCCATTCTCTCCCACTGAGGTGAAATCAATTTGAATAAACTGTGTGTCTGAATTACAGGGAAATATACATACAGACTAAATTATTCTCCTATTCTGGTACCAACCATACCCAGATATTTATCTTTGCCTGTTAATCGTTCAAATCAAGTTAATTTAAGTTCCAACTACTGACTTCTGCAAAAGTTGTAAGAACCAGAAATGTCTGGTTTTTCTCCCAGAAAAACAGGTTTATATGAAGGTGGCAAATTCTTATCCCTAAAACAAATTGTCTTCGTTACAGCCATAAACTTGGCAATCATTGACCTAAATTATTATCCCAACAGGTTGGTACCTACTAAAAGATTACATCAACTAACTCTGTATTTGAGGTTAATTCCAGTTTTCAGAAAAGTGCTGCCAAAGTCTAGCATTCAGTAGACAACTAACTAGATTTATTAGACAAAATTATTCACTGCACCAAGTGAAAATAGGTATTTAGTACATAACTGGTAAGTACCATCTACCAACTAATAAGAACTTATTTCTGAGATGACTATTGGAAATGTAATTGGTATGAACAATGTTCCATTTGTTCAGTGTAGAATGATATACACATCTTATTCTACAGCATATATCAAGTTGAAAGGTAATGGTGCTAAACTTTAAGTAATTTTTAGGTTGGCTATATTATGCATGTTGGCACTCCATGCTTATGCCACAGAAAATACAATAACTTAAATTATTAGCAAAAATTTTCAATTCAGCCTTTCCTTAAAAATGTATGTATTTACATCTATAATGAAGTTAATTTAAAAGAGTTCATGTTGCCTGGCCAGTGTGGCTCAGAGGTTGAGCACTGACCCATGAACCAGGAGGTCATAGTTTGATTTCCGGTCAGGGCACCTGCCCAGGTTGCAGGCTCAATCCCAAGTAAGGGGGATGCAAACGGCAGTCAATCAATGATTCTTTCTCATCATTGATGTTTCTCTCTCTCTCTCTCCCTCTCCCTTCTTCTCTCTGAAATCAATAAAAACAAATCTTTAAATGGGGGGAAAAAAGAGTTCATGTTATAGGAATTTGCTTTATAGAAGGCTTAACTTGAATATAACTATTCTGTATGTCAAAGTTCACTTGTATTTGTAAGAGGTGGGTATAGCAATCTATCCTAGTGCTATTCTAGTTATCTAGTACCAGCCCAAAGTAATAATAATGGCAGTGTCTTTTATGAATAACAAAAATGGATAGTCCAACGTTCTAATGATATTTTTAAAGATTAAATAAAAATCAAAAGTCAATTCTTGCCCTAATCCAAAAATATAGCACATTTACAAAGATACTGTTACTCTAAAACAGGGTTGGGACCTTTTTCTGCCAAGGGTCATTTGGATATTTATAACATCATTCACAGGCCATACAGAATTGTCAACTTAAAAATTAGCCTGTTATATTTGGTCAAACATTTAATTAACTTACTCATAATAACTTGGCAGGGCCAGACCAAATGATTTCATGGGCCATGTGGCCCATGGGCAGGCCATTCCACAGCCCTGCTCTAAAGGTATGATTAATGCCTTATAAAAAAGACATAGAAAGTTGACACCATACTGAAGTTTGGAGAGTCTATCCATGCAATTAGCTTTTTTTTCTCATTTATTTTTATTTCTATTTTAAATTTTGTTTTATTGCTTAAAATATTGCAAAGAGTAGTACATATGTCTCCTTTTTTTTCCCCCCCTTGACCTTCCCCCGGCCTCCCCTACCCCCCAGTGTCTTGTGTCCACTGGTTATGCTTATATGCATGTATACAAGTCCTTCTGTTGATCTCTTACCTCCCCTGCCCCCAACCCTCCCCAGCCTTCCCGCCGTAGTTTGACAGTCTGTTCGATGCTGCTTTGCCTCTGTATCTATTTTTGTTCATCAGTTTATAATGGTCTTTATTATCCATAAATGAGTGAGATCATGTGGTATTTTTCTTTCATTGACTGGCTTATTTCACTTAGCATAATGCTCTTCAGTTCCATCCATGCTGTTGCAAATGGTAAGAATTCCTTTTTTTACAGCAGCATAGTATTCCATTGTGCAGATGTACCACCATGCAATTAGCTTTTATGTCTTTCTTAAAATACAGGAGACAATCATTCATAATTAAATTAGCAAGAAATAACCGCTATTATTATTTTGGTACATTTCTTCTAGTATTATTTTGGCATATTTCTTCCAATCTTGTGTGTTTGTACACATACAAATATTAACAAAACTGGTAGCATAACACAAATTTTTCTCTTATTTTATCATATGCATTTCTCCCATCACTTTATATCCTTCTAAAACATGCTAGTGTACCTATGAATATGCTCTTATTGGTTATTTTTCTGGTATTACAACACTTAAATGCACATCTTGTAGAAAAGTCTTGGTACATAGCTCTGATTATTTCCTTAGACAATTCCTTTAAGTGTATTGTTGGGTGGCTCAAAGATTAGGAACATTTTTAAGACTCTTGAAAAGACTGCCAAAATTCCCTCTAGAAAGGGTACACCACTTTATGAACTCTAACCAAAGAGATGGGAGTGCCCCACCTCTCCATGCAGTTCCTGACCTTACAAGAGAGCCATACTTTTATAGAGCTTAATAAAAAAAACAAGGTATACTTTACCATATCTATCCAAGTTTAAAATATAAAACAGTTTAAGGCAGTTAATATTAGTATGTGTCTGTGTATTAGATATATATAGGAAATATAAATGTTATGGGGAAGGAATAAAGTAGAAGTACTGAGATTAAAAACACCTTAGAGATCATCTAACTAAGCAAAGTGAAAAAAGGAATACCTCCTTTCCCCCCATCCCCAGATTTCTCAATCATACTCAGCAAGCTCGGCACAGGATCTAAGTTTTCCAATTCTTACATCTTAGAACTATCCAAGAAGTAGGTCAAGAATTTAGTACCCTCATTAATAAAATGGAGAAGTTTAATCATGGGCTTTCTAAATCCCTTATAAAATTCTATGACTTTTACAATTTAGGTTGTAACAGGTTTCCCAGCAAAGGGGAAAGAACATTGAACCTGCTTCTAAATACCTAGGTTTATCAGGGGTGGGGGACATCTGGCCCGAGAGCCATATAAGGCCAGAAAAATCATTTGGTCTGGTCCTGCCAAGGCATTAGGGGTGGGTTAATTAAATGTTTGACCAAATATAACAAGCTAATTTTAAACTGATAATTTTGTATGGCCCACGAATGATGTTATAAATATCCAAATGTCCCTTGGCAGAAAAAAGCTTCCCCACCTCTGGTTTAACTACCTGTTTTACCCTTCAATTCACAGAGTAAGGATTTTTATAGTACCTCCATAATGTTCTTGGAAAGATTAAGTGACAATCTTGTAAACTGCTAAACTATATAAATATAGAAGTTTAATTACATATGTTTACAAACACTGTAAATACATTTAAAGCATTATGTTCGAGCATGAGTGTATTACCCAAGAATGTTCCTATAATAGAGCTGGACTCTTAAACTGTAATTTCAAGGGAGAACATAGAAAGTATTACATAGGATAACAGCTACAAAGCAATATCATGGAAATGGGCATATCTGAACAAAAGCTGTAGAAGAAGTAAGGCAAGGTAACCAACCTATCATAAATGTAGAAAATGAAGAGAATAATCTGGTACGTTACAGAAAGACTTAGCAGGGAGGTTTAGTACATCAGCTGGTGCAAAAAAGGATGGTATTTTTAGGGAAATATGGGAAAGCCTGAAGAAATGTATCTTCTCATTGTGCAAGATAAGTATAGCCTGTTCATCAACAGCTACATCAAATTCTACCAAAGGGAGTGCCTATGTAAATGAAATTCTGCTTTTAAAATATCTATTATATAGTCAGAAAATTCAAGCTCTGGTGTACAAGCTCTAGCAGCATGGCATAGAAGGAAAAAAAAACTTATAAAAAAGCAAAATGCTGCTGAAGCCTCCCTTTTCCACTGCAATATAAACTTCTGGATTATAACACATTTCAGGTAATTGCCACATAAAGAATTTCCAAATCTGGAATCTTTTTTTTTTTTAGGTTTGATAAAATATTTAAAGACAAAAGTCACCCATGAGGGTACATCGTACACAATTTTAAAAGGTTCTGGGCCTAAAGAAAACGGGAGTTTTTCTTTTTCTTTTTTTTTTTTAATGTAGGGAAATGTATTGTAGTTTACCTCTGTCCCTGCAAGCAGGTGTATTCTTCTGGGTTACTATCTCCCAGGTTGTGACTGACAATCAAAGGAGGCTACTGCAAAGAAAGAACAAAGAGGGTGTTAGGCATTAATTCGCACAGGATTCTTAGTCTTAACCATCAGTTTTTATCAATTGTCCCCCACAAACAAAACCAGTCTGCTAAGACCTGGTGAAAGCCAGGAGCACGGGGGGAGGCTGGCGATTTCTGTACTAAGAAGCTTCTCGGTTCTGGTTCACGGCCGCCTTCTCTTTTCCAGGCGATAGGGAGTTGCTGGCAATGGAGCCGAGCAAGCTCGGTAGCGGAGCAGGCCTTCTGGAGGAGATCCACACCTCCCCGGGCCACCCATCGCTCGCCGCTCCTCCCCACCCGCGGTCCCGGCGCCCGCAGGTTCCCGCCGCGCTGCTGGACTGGACTCTCCCCGAGCTCTCGGCCAGCCCCCGCTCCTCCCGCAGGTGCCTGCCCTGCCAGAACGAGCCCCCACCCTGGCAGCACCTCTGGGATCACCTCGTGTTCCCCGAGAGGAGCACGGCGGATGGCACTTAGCTAGCACCTCCGGGGGCAGGAAGGGGCCCTGCCTGGGGCCGCGCGGCCGCCCAGCTCCCGGCAGCAAAATGGACTCGTGGGGCCTATCGGGCCCGCCCCGCCGCCCTCCTCCCCGGCACCTCGGTCCGCCTCCCGGGTCGGGATTCGCCTCTGTTCCGCCTCCCGCGTCTTGCCTTTCCCAGGGAGAAGGAGAGGGTGAGGGGAGGCAGGAGTCCTTCCGGCGCCTCCAACCGCCTCCGCCGCTGCGCTCCCGGGAGAGGGGAGGGTCCGGAGCGGCCGCTCGGCCCAGGGGGGCTGCGCGCGCGGAGCTCCGAGCCCGCAGCGGGCGGGGCGGGGCGCGCGGCGTCAGGGAACGACCGGCGGGCGGAGAGGGGGCCCCGCCCAGAGCGCGCGGACGCGGGCGGCGTTGCCGTCTCAGGAGCCAGCCGGGAAGCCAGCGTGTGCAGCAAGATGGTTGGGTTTGGATTGTTGTACTTTTTTTTTTGTTCGTTGCATTTTAAGGAACAAAAAAAAAGGCCCAACCCTTCACACCACTTCATTTGCATCTCTCAAGACCGGAAGCCCGGCCACAGCGGCCTGCGGGGCGGAAGACAGCTGACTGCCTCGCACCCCACAACCGGGCGGGTGGGACTGGGAGGGGTACTCCTGTTGGGACCAAAGCCAGGGGGTTCCAGCCAGAGCACAACCAAAGTGAACGGTTGTCCCCACACCCAATCTTGCACCTGTACCTTTGCAGGCTTTAAGCTGAACACTAAGCGGCTCAATTCTATTTAAGATTTCATTCAGGAAAAACGCTGCTCTTTCCTTCAGAGAGAAGGAGGAACTTAAAATTGGCTTTAACTTAATGAGCCACTAATGGCTTTCAGTTGCTAATCTAACTCACTGTTCTGATGTGCAGCTCTCTGTGTAAGGACCTTATCCTATATAATAAAAGCCTAATATGCTAAGTGTCCATTCAACCAAGCAAAGCGTAATATGCTAATGATATGCTAAGACTGTTCAACCGCTTGCTATGATGTGCACTGACCACCAGAGGGCAGACGCTCTGACTGGTGGGTTAGCTTGCTGCTGGGGTCGAACCAACCAGGACTGAGCAAGATGGGCCGGATACCCCTGGATCCCTCCCACGGTCCCTTCCCAGCTGGCCAACCTCCCATGTCCCTCCCTGGCCCCGATTGTGCACCAGTGGGGGTCCCACGGCCTGGCCTGCACCCTCTCGAAATCTGGGACCCTTAGGGGGATGTCAGAGAGTCGGTTTCGGCCCAATCTCACAGGCCAGGCTAAGGGAACCCACTGGTGCACAAATTTGTGCACCAGGCCTCTAGCCTATAAACATACCAGTAAAAGCCTAAACAACCAGACAACCGAACACCTGGAATGACAAGTCAACCGACCAGTAGCTATGATGTGCACTGACCACCAGGGGGCAAATGCTCAATGCAGAGCTGCCCCCCGATGCTCAGTTCACTCCCACAGCCAACCTCCCAAGGCCCCTCCCCCCTGCCGGCTGGCCCCCCAAATAGGCCACGATTGGGGGGCCAGCCGGCCAATCTCCCAGGGTCCATGCCCCTGGCCAGCCCCCCAATAGGCCTCAATCCCTGGGCAGGCCAAGGGACCCCACCCATGTACAAATTCATGCACCGGGCCTCTATTATAAACACATTAAGCACTTAACCAATGAGCAGTTATAAGAAGAATGTAAAGATGAAGGAATGGCTTCTCCAAATTTTATAGTCTGGGGGAAGTGAAACAAGGACAAAAACGTCACAGAATATGCCCTGGGGTTGAGTTCACCCAGGTGGGGAAGTCTGGGCTTAGAATTTGGGAGAAAGGTATTTGAGGCCTACCATACATAGAATTTGAGCCTCATGACTAATAAATGTTTTGCTCAAAACCCATAAAAAGCACCTCCCTACTATTCTGAGATGTCCAGTTCCTCACCATGCCCAAGGTCCCTTAAATCCAATTTTGTCTTTCTAGAACATTGCTATGTTTATGTCATTTAATCTTTATAAGAACACTGTGGAGTGGAAAGTATCCTCATTCTATAGATGAAGAAAGGGATGAAGGGAGTTCTCTGAAGTAAATAAGAGGCAGAGCTAAAGTCAGGTTCCAGGTTTAGGTTCTTTCTATAGCACAGTAACTGTCAGTGCCAATAAAAACTGCACCCCAGTCTCCTATATTAATATTATTTTTAAAGGCTGATTTTTAGAAACATTTTAAATATCTCACTATTAAAATGATCCAAGAGAGAAAGTTAGGTTATTAACACATAAATCACAATTTATCCTTACTGTAATTATATAATACATATTTATATAGTTCTAATTAATAAACTTCTGCCAAACTAAATGTAAAACACTGGTTAAACATGCATAGAAACCTCTAGATTGTTTTTTAAAAAATTACTAAGAGAACATTATATATTTAAACTCCTAAGTATAGAAAAATAAGGAAGGAAGACGGGGCTCTCTCTCTTCCCATGATCCTAAAAAAATATCAGTCAGAGAATCTCACATATAGTATAACTAGAAAAGAGAGTAACGGTGGGCCAGATTAAAACATATACACAGCTTACATCCTTCCTGGAAGAGCACAATGTAACTAGATCCTGTTAGAGATAACATTGAGCGATTGTCAAAATTCTGTCACACTGGAATTTCCTTCTATTGATTGGTCTTCACATAAGTAAACTAACAACTAAAGATTGGAATTAATGCATCGGCACAGTAATAAGACTATGGATATAGTCTTATTTCTTTCTGTTGTTTGTGGTAAGTATATTTATAGGTAGAACTTCATATATACATAATCTTATTTGTTGCATTGTTTTATTGTTTTTGTGCTGAACCTTGACAAAGATTAAAAAAAAAAAAAAATGCTGCTTTCCTTCCACCTACCAAGACATGTGAGCAGGTGTTCCATTAAAAAACAAAAGGACAGTGCCAATTTGGTGTACACTGAAATATAAATTTTCAGAGTGGGGAACATCTAATAAGTAAGCCTGGAGCAATTTTTGTGCAGGAGTGGGGTGCTGGTGAGCCTCCTCAGATACGCTTGAACATTTTATTTTTCTGTCCTTCCCAACAGCTGTCAAAGTCGGGAGTGCAAGCCCCAACATCCCCCAAGGAGGACCCCTAACAATAAAAGGCACTAACATCCCAAGTTGTGAAAAGAGCAAAGGCTTTGGAACCAGTCCTGCATCCATAATCTAGCTCTACCACTTACTCACTAGTTGTTCAAGTTACTTAGCATCTCAAAGCTTTAGTCTTCTGTAAAATGGGGATCACGATTTACTTGATTATGGAAATAATATTTAAAGCCACCAACATTGTGTCTGACACATAGCAGGTGCTTAATAAATGGTTGCTACTGTTATATGAAAGAAGAAACCATGCTGAGTTTGATTACAGTTGCCTTGGATTTATAACTTTGAGGCTCCCATGATAGTCTTAAGCAAAGCTAAACTGCCTATGAAGTAGAGGAAGTAAGCATCATAATTTTTGCTTTTCCACACCCAGCCCAGGATGACCTTTTAAAAAGTATATATCCTTCCACTTCTATCTATACCTCCTTCCCTGTATTTAAGGAGAGAAAAAGGGAAAAACGTCACACTCGAAGAAGGGAAGACTGCAGTTTTTTAAAAAGCTCTAGAATTTTAGAGAAATTTAACATCCAAAATATTCCATTTAAAAGAAAAAAAGTCTATCTGTAAAAATACATTTATCACAAAAGGCAGAAACTTACCTAAAACTTGAGAAATTAAAGGAATTGGTCCCTGGTTTGAAGAAATTCCAGATTCCATATATTTCAGTTATATAGAATTTTGGTTCTGAATATCTAGATTTATCAGATACCTACAAGAAATTGTACAAGTATTGTGCAAGAAATACATTTTGTGGTTTTTTTTTCTTTTTTTAAATTATCTTTAATGTTGAGAGTATTACAGATGTTTTTTAATAAGAACCTAGTTGATTCTGATGTCAAAGCATGTGGTAATAAATGCCTTGTCAAAAATGGGTTTTCCATATAATGCTTTTGTTGTTTATAACGCCATGTTGGTTGTTGCTAGAATGTGGCTGGACCTCCCAGAGCTTGCACTGGATCTAAAGCAGCCCACAACCCTCCCAGTCAGGCAAAAGACACAGACAATTCAGAAGATGCATGAAACTCATTATACAATATCAGCAGAGTTTAGACATTTTGTAAAGGTCTTTGACCTCCATGTTGTGAAATTCAATGGACCTTTTTTCAGTTCTCATTTACCTTGATCTCTTAGCAGCACTCACTGCCTCTTTAAAAGGTCCTCTTTCCCTGGCCTTCAATTATATCATTCTCACTCCTGGCTTTCCTTTTTTCAACTCAGGAATACTTGCTGGGGCATTCTCTTCTATCCAGCACTTAAATTCTGGAATTTTTTTGAACACTCAGTTTCAGGACACTCACAGGACTTCAACTATCATTCAGTGATTCACACAACCTGACAGCCTATATTTACATCATTTTTGAATGGTGAAAACTGTTTGAATTTAAATACTTTAGCAGAGGCATGCTCCTTCTTCCTCTTGCAGGCATTTCAGCTAGCCCTTGTGTTACCCAAGGCTTATTCTCCTTCCAGCTTCAGGGTTCCTGCCCTTATAGTTTCTTCTCTCCGTAATGCACCCCCTCACCTGCCACCAAACCCACCTCTCCATCCTTACCTCCAACCACAGCACAACTGATACATCCCAGGTTAGCTTTCCACAATGTTCTAAGCCAAGGACAGTTCCATCTTAATCAGCTCTTATCCTATACTCTTCTTCTATTGCACACACTGCAGTTTGTTATTATATATTTATTTGCATCATTATTTGAATAATGTTTGTCTCCCACTTAACTGTAAACTCTGCAAGAGCAGAGATTGTGTGTGTTTGCGAGCATCTGCCTGTGTTTTCTCAGTGCATTCCTAGCACTTAACACAGTGCTTATGAATTTTTTCATGAATATTTTGGGGTAGTAAGAGTTCTCTCTTTCAAACATCATTGATGTATTTTAAATCTCTAAAAATTAGCTGTTGAGATCAGCTGCAATGGCAATATATTGTGAATTTTATTCACTTAAAATAGGCACTTCAATATATTTTATCTTATCAAGACAATATTTTCCCCATTCATTTGCAAAGTTTTTCCAGATTCCTCCTATAGTTTATACAAATGTGTCAGTAGTCTTCGCTCATTCACAACATAATTTGTCTTTTAAAATTAGGATAATTTCTTGAATAGTCCATCAGAAAATTCTTATAAAAAAATTGAGAACATTCTTTCTAAGCATAAAAATTGAACAATATGCCACAAAAAACAATATAATTAAATAAGATTATAAAATTTATATATTAAAAACACAACACAGTTAATAGTATATAACTATTAAAAAGAAGATAAAGCTGTATGTGTTGATAATATGTATAAGATACTTTAAGCGAAAAATCAGGTTAAAAACTATGTATACTATGATTCCAATTTTGAAAAGAAATGTAATTGGTAGCATATGGTTAGGAAAAAATACTTGGAGGAATACACACCAAATTGTCAATTTGAGGGGATAGAATTTGGAAAATTTTCAATATCTGTTTTATATTATTATAAACTAGAGGCCCGGTGCATGGATTTGTGCACCGGTGGGGTCCCTCGGCCTGGCCTGCACCCTCTTGCAATCTGGGACCCCACCAGTGCACGCACGATTAGGGCTGGGAAGGGAGCACAGTTGGGCTCCAGGGTGTGTCCAGCCCCTCGTGCCCAGTCCCTATCACGGCGATTGGGCTGATCAGGGCCATCTCACCCAGTCCCAATCAGGGCTGATCAGAGCTTGGGAGGGACTGCAGGAGGGCTCCAGGGCGTGTCTGGCCCGTCTCGCCCAGTCCCAATCAGCCGGACCCCAGCAGCAAGCTAACCTACTGGTTGGAGCATCTGCCCCATGGTAGTCAGTGGTTGAACAGTCGAATGATCAAGCAGTCGCTTAGGCTTTTATATATATATATTTGTATTTTATAATGAGTATTTATATTTTTATAATGTATTTTAAAAAGATAAACTGGTAAAAGAAAAATAAACTTGATTAGAACAAATATATGTCATATATGTAACTAGGTCAAAAACTCTTCCTAAGAAATAATAAGGCAAACACCAAGATAAAAATATGAAAAACAGGACTTAAAAAAAGAAATGCAAATGGTCAATAAGCATGAGAAAAAATATTTATTCTCATTGATAAGGAAACACCAGGCAAGCCCTGGCTGGTGTTGCTCAGCGGATAGAGCGTCTGGCCTCACACTGAAGAGTCTTGGGTTCAATACCCGCTCCAGAGCACATACCTGGATTGCTGCTTCTATCCCCACCTCTATCTCACATCAGTGTTTCTCTCTCTCTCTTTCTCTCTCTCTCTCTCTCTCTCTCTCTCTTTCTCTCTCTCTCTTTCCTCTTCCTTCCACTCTTTTTAAATCAATAGAAAAAAATATCCTAGGGTAAGGATGAACAACAAAAGAAATACCAAGCAAAATAATGAAATAATGATAAACCTTCTTTAGTTCATTAAATTGGAAAAAATTTAAAACATTATAATGACCACCAACTTACACCATACACAAAAAAAAACTCAAAATGGATAAAGGACTTAAATGTAAGACAGGAAACCATAAAAATACTAGAGAAATCCAAAGGCAACAAAATCGCAGACATATGCCGAAGCAATTTCTTCACCAATACAGCTCCTAGGGCATTGGAAACTAAAGAGAAAATAAACAAATGGGACTACATCAAAATAAAAAGCTTTTGTACAGCAAAAGAAACCATCAACAAAACAACAAGAAAGCCCACTGCATGGGAGACCATATTTGCCAATGTTATCTCTGATGAGGGTTTAATCTCCAACATTTATAGGGAACTCATACAACTTAACAAAAGGAAGATAAACAATCCAATCAAAAAATGGGCAAAGGACCTAAATAGACACTTTTCAAAAGAGGACATTCAGAAAGCCAAGAGACATATAAAAACATGCTCAAAGTCACTAATCAGCCGAGAGATGCAAATCAAAACAATAATGAGGTACCATCTCACACCTGTCAGAATGGCTATCATCAACAAATCAACAAACGACAAGTGCTGGAGAGGATGTGGAGAAAAGGGAACACTCGTGCACTGCTGGTGGGAATGCAGACAGTATGGAAGACAGTATGGAGTTTCCTCAAAAAACTAAAAATGGAACTCCCATTTGACCCAGTGATCCCACTTCTAGGAATATATCCCAAGAAAACAGAAACACCAATCAGAAAGGATATATACATCCCTATGTTCATAGCAGCACAATTTACAATAGCTAAGATTTGGAAACAGCCTAAGTGCCCATCAACAGATGAGTGGATTAAAAAACTGGTACATCTACACAATGGAATACTATGCTGCTGTAAAAAAGAAGGAACTCTTACCATTTGCAATGGCATGGATGGAACTGGAGAGCATTATGCTAAGTGAAATAAGCCAGTCAATGAAAGAAAAATACCACATGATCTCACTCATTTATGGACAATAAAGACCATTATAAACTGATGAACAAAAATAGATACAGAGGCAGAGCAGCATTGAACGGACTGTCAAACTACAGCGGGAAAGGTGGGGAGGGTTGGGGGGGAGGGGGTAAGAGATCAACTGAAGAACTTGTATGCATGTATATAAGCATAACCAATGGACACAAGACACTGGGGGGTAGGGGAGGCCGGGGGAAGGTCAAGGGGGAAAAAAAAAGGAGACATATGTACTACTCTTTGTAATAGTTTAAGCAATAAAACAAAATTTAAAAAACAAAACAAAAAAAACATTATAATGACCAATAGGCCAGCATTGAGTGTTACAGGCCATCTTGTTTCTTGCTAAAATCCAACATAGAAAGATACAATCCTTTGGGGGAAGTTTGGTAATCCGTATAAAAAACACTCAAAATATATATTTAATTCAATTTCTAGGAGTTTATCCTATGAAAATAATCATAACAACCACAATTTATATGTCAAGTCTATTTGTTATAGAGCTGCCCCCTGGTGAAAACTATCAGGGGAAAACTAGAAATATCCTAATTATCCATTTAAAAAATATGAGTTAAATGAATCCTGGTACAGTCATAGTAAATAATAATACATAGCCATATAAAAATCATGTTAAAAAAAAAAACAACTTGCAAATTGCACAATCTTTTATTAAGTAAAGAAAAGCAAATTTCAAAACAGTATACATAGCATGAAACTGATTATTAGCGTATGTCAATACATATGCACATATTAAAAAGACACCACAATGTTAACAATTGTTATCCACGAATGGTATAAAATGAGAAGACTTTAATTTTGTCCTGGTTCATTACTGGATTTTTCAAAGTTTCTATAATGGTTATATAATATATTACTGTTATAATAATACAAATTAAACATAGAGTTACTACTTCATCCAGCAAGTCTACTCTTAGACATATAACCAAGAGAATTAAAAGCATATGCTCATATGATAACTTGTATATGAATGTTCATAGCATTATTATTCAGAATATCCCAAAACAAAAAAAAGAAAACAAACCAAATGTCCATCAACTAATGGATGGCTAAGCAAAATAGCAAAATGTGATATATACATTCATACAATGGAATATTATTCAGCCATTAAAAGGAACGAAATACTGATTCATGTTACAACCTGGATAGACCTTGAATTCATTATAGTAAGTGAAAGGAGCCTACAAATCATCCATTCAGATGATTTATCTAAAATAGACAAAACCATATAAACCAGAAGTTGATTAGTAGTTTCCAGGGACTGGGCAGAGGAAAGAATGA